GATGGACTAGCACCCAACTAACAATCTAAAAAGGAGAAACTTTACCAACAAACAAGTCGACCGACTTGACATTTTTGCTTGATTGTACTCATATGGCTCGCTCACAGGGGCACTACGAACGGCACGACCTCATGATCACGTCAAGGGTGGTGCCGACTATTTAAAAAAAATGAAAGACAATCTCCTCGACCAACTATTTGAAAAAATTGAAAGACAATCTCCTCGGCCAACCATTCAGTGTTTGACTTCACCACAAAATAAACTTTGATAGGTCCGTGAATGACTTCTTATCGTCGAAAATATGGCGAGCATAAGTTTTTCAGAGAACCACAAGAGGAATTGTGGGGTTGGAAAAGGGTATACTCTTTTCCAAATACGTTGCATATGTGGAAATAATAGTGGTCGTGATACACTGATAACCCTTTAAACGATAACCTTTCCGGGAATGTTCTGCTGACAACAATACAAGTCTCTGACAATCGATTGCACTCTCTCACAATCTCTAGCATTCCCTTCGTGGATAGAAGGGTTAAAGGTTGGTGATCTGACTGACCGACCAATTGAAAAATCAAAGACGTTCACCTCGGTCATCGATTTACTGTTAGAAGTTGTCAATAAGAAGGTTGTCTCCAATCCAAAATACCGTGAAGCAAAAGGGCGAGCACTTCTCTGGGAACCCAAAGAGGATCTCTCTGGTCGGATAGGGGTGTACGCTTTGCCAAATATGGAAGCCTCCTCACGATTACTCTATATCAAGAAGCAAGAGGGGAAAGATTTGAGACCTCTGCAAAGTGTAAGTGAAAGATCAGTGAGCATTGGCGGACTTTCCCTTTTGAGAGGCAGAAAAGAACAAAGAGCCCTGACACACTTTCCTTTTGAGGCACATACCTTATGTGTTTCCTCATAAGAATGTGAGTATCGGACACTTCATCCCACCCTCTCATAACCCCCAACATTTTCTAACATCTAGTATTGTTTGGGCTAATCTCTAATGATCCCGTTGAATTGCAGACGCATACAAGAAATGTCATGAATAAAATAAAAAGGTTGGTGTCAAACATCACAGACCCACTAAGGGAGGAGGATTGGACCAGTCGTTGACCCTTGTCCTCTAGTAAAGCCTGAAAAGAAAAACCCAGGCCTGCACCTTATTGACCGACCTTCTACCGCTCGTTCTTTTAGGTCCAGCTAGGTAGTTGGGTGGCCAAAGTTTATTTTGAGGGCTCTGAAAGGGGCCGACTAATTTGAAGGGAGGGGCACGACTACTTGGAGGTCCTCTAGTAAGTTAACAAGATACGCATTCGACGAAAGAGACGAACATAAGCAGCTAACACGCTTTCCCTTTTCAGAAATTTTCTTCACTAATGAGCTATGGTAGTCTCCTCCTTGACACTTTTTAACGGATGTGTCGGAGGACGCACCTCCATAATTATTAATTTTATGTGTGTCCTGACTCTTAAGTATCGGAGCGAGGCGCACTTAGAAGAGGGTACACACATTTCGTACCTACATGCAAAAGGCAATTGAGTGTATCATGATTTTCTTCTTCGGCGAGTTTCTTTATGTGGAGGATCCGCAAAGGAGGACACAACCACGGTAACCGTTCCGCATTTTGTGCATGTCATTAAAAGCGAAGTGAGGCCGATAGAGTCTGAGGGGCCGAAAAATGGTATTGCAACACAGCAGCGAGTCCTTACAGGCTTTCCTTTTTTTTAGCAATAACGAGCCTGACACGCTTTTCCTCTTCGACAAGTCTCTTAATGTGGAGGATGTCCTGAAGGACACACAACCACAGTTTCATATTTTGTGCATGTCGAGAAAAATGAAGCGAGGCCCATAGTGTTGGCAGGGCTGCATATCGATAGTGCAACACGACAACGAGCCTTGCTATGCTTTCCCATTTTTATAAGTCTTTTTATCTCCCTCCTGTAGCCAAAATTGTGCCTTTTCTCACTTAATGTATGTCATTCCTCAATAGTTAATGGGGACTCGTTGAGCCGGTGGGATCAAAGAAGCGTACACATTTTTCCGCCCTATCCACAAGAGAACAACGAGCCCTTGCAGGGTGCCCTCTTTCCCGATTGGAATACCAAAAGCGTGAATATGGAAATTTCGGTAGCACGACTTGTCTAACGAGCTACCGTGTTGAAAAAGTCGATATGAGAATGTATTGGCGGTGGTCCTCTACTAAGAGGGAAAGGCGAGGCCAGCACCTTCGCCCTTTCACCCAACCTCTTATCCGTCCGTTCAGTCCCAGCAGAGTAGTTGGGAGGGTGAATCTTCTTTTGAGAGTTCTGTACGAGGCCGGTAAACTACAAGGATTTGCGAGTCACAGGGCTATGTGCACCACTCTCGGCGCGACACATGAAAAAGGAACCGGGCAAGGCAGGTTTTGTTTCGGGAGCTTTAGTAGCCACTCCACTGAAGGCAGTTATATGTCACATAGGATCTAAACCCACATGACGCTTTTTACAACCATCCATAGTGATAGGGACATTGCAATTGCCCGAAGGTGGTTGTTTTGTTGCTTTCCTTAGCACGATTGGTGACTGTTAGTGGTGTTCGAACCTCCCTGGTTTGCTTGCATCTTAGCATAAAGGTTGTCTTTCATTAGGGAAGCCGGAGCAGGTTTCCGACTTAAAAAAGAGAGAAAAAGAAAACAAATTATAAAGGTTGTTTTTTGTAAGGGAAGTCAGACCCGGTTTTCGACTTAAAAAAGATAAATAAAAAGAAAAAAATCAGTCGAGAAGTCCCTCGAACTACTGCGCCTGCACCGACTAGTTTGTGAATTTTTTTTTCATAGGGCCGACGTTCCAAGCAAATAAACAATCCAATTGGTCGAAAAAGAAAACAAAGCAAATAAACTTAGTGCCGACCTTTCAGGGGAGGGGGAGGGGTTGGTCACTTTAGGGAATCGGTTGTGGCCAAACGACTGCGGAAGTGGATATACAAACACGTGGCAGATCAACAAAAAAAACATGCAAAATATTTCTTAACCTTGTAGGCACAGTAGCATATGGGATACTGAGCGCATAAGTTTAAAGCTCCGACTAATGTCATGACAGTGTTGTAGCGTCGAGTAAGGAAAGACGGAGCGGTTCCCTGAAAGGCGTGCACATTTTTCACAGGAGGGAGTGTTTTTACTGGCCATACTTAAGAGACTACCAATATGAAAAGGAAAATTATCCCTTATGGTAATCATTTTTCTTTTGCGTCGTGACAAAACTGACAGCGATTCTTATGAGTCGAAGTCACTCCATCCGATAATCTTACGATGCATGAGCACATAACAAAGACCAAAATTGTAAAATACAACAGAAAGCGACCGGTGGTCATTTGCGGATTGGTATAATCACCGACTTGTTGAAATGCGACCCATATTCGGGTCTAGACGAAAAAGAATTGTTCAAAGAGAACAGAAAACAATAAAAAATATTGAACTATTTCTTGCAAAAGAATGAAGCTAGACGTCCCAGGGGAAAAAAATCCAAAATTGTCCATCTGTCATTTTCAATCTCCTCGTAAGGTTGGAGACAATTTCATTACGATTTTTGTTTTCTTTTCTTTTCTTTTCATAAAAGCATCCAAAGTAGGCGTATTAGTAAAGGTGATAATAGCATTCCCAAATAATAGGACCCTGGTAAAAGATGGTTTCAATCTATCAGTGGAGAGCTAAACCAACCGAAAATAAGTTCCATTGTAGATACTTACATGCATGACAACTTAACCAAGCAAATTCTTCACCGATCATGAAATGTCCAACTAATCATCTTTTATTCGATACTCACCGATATCATTCACGACAATCACATTGGCACCATTCGATACTCAGTCATATCATTAACAACGTATTCAGAACTCGCGCATACCATTTACAACATAAACAATGACTCTATTCAATACTCGTTACCACCATTCGTAACGTGATTTGTCTCAAATTGACGATTAAGATATTACCGTTTCGATACCAGAGTTCGCAACCAGGATTTTTTGGAGTACCTGTACCTAACCTAACCATGCACTCTTCGAAAACCAACCACCCATACCCACTGCATACCTGGCCTGCCAGACCCTTACCCATCTCCAACTGCCCCAAAAAAAAAAAAAGATATACCCTAGCCTACCCTAACTGAACCTCTTCAGCATGTAACTGGCCATACCTACCCATGATTTTTTTTTTTCAAAACCACCCATGGCCACCTCAACCCAAACCATTTGTTAACCACCCATACCCTACTTTACCCATGTTTGGTTTACCTATACCCACTTGTACCTACCCATAGTTGTATGCACCCACCCGTAACCATCCATTCTCATAACCCACTCTTCCCTAACCGCAAATAACCGCCTCTAATTGTCCTCAACCGCCACTAACTGTCCTTGGCCGCCCGTAACTGCCCCTAACCGCCTCTATTTTTTTTTAACCACCCCTAACCGCCCCTAATTGTCCTGAACCGCAGCCAAATGTCCCAAACCCCCTGGACGTCATAGGATTGGCGTGCTGATTTTTTTTTATTTTTTTTTTTCGAGATATAGCATCTGCCGTGCAAGAGCAACGATTGTTACATCTGGTCACTTTGATGCTGTTATGGATGCATCCCATGCTACAACAGCCTATGCAACTTGTATAACATCTGGAAATGCAACAACCCTTGGTCTGTCGCGCACACAATTTCACACATACACTTCTTCACACACACACACACTTGCACACACACACACACATTGTCAGACATAAATATTACATGGACAAGGGTACACGCATTTGAAAATAATCCGAAAATTAAAAAAAACAAAAAATAAAACAAAAGGAAAAGAGATCAAATTCACCCTTGCGAGAAAAAGTGATGGCTTCATGGAAAAGTGAGAAATTTGGAATGTGAAAAAAACGCCACACGCGACAAAAAAAAAAAGATTGCAAAAGCTACAAAACTTGCATTAATTGGCCGAAAGTCGACATCAAACGGCCGGAAGGGATGATGCTGCAAAGCCACAACACTGTGAGCGTGGCTGAAATCCAGCAAACTATCTAGCCTCCAAAGGTAGAAAATTTGCATCAGTTCAGCACATCATAGTTGGAACGAACAAAAAGGACACTATCCACCACGAATGGATTGAGCTGGTTTCTTTTTTTTGTGACAGTGTTTCCTGCGTCTGAGAAATTGCACTCGCTCTTGGAACTCGACGCAGGAACACACAGGATTGCTCGAGCAGCACGCGCCATGATCGGTGGAGGTGTGATCAGCAACTGGTCCTCTGCATTCTTTGCAACTGTCCCCTTCACCTTCCACCACACTAATATGTCGAACTTCTTCTTCTCGTCTTTCGTCAGCTTCAAGCCAAAGTAGAATTCCAACTCCTTCACGCGTTGTATCAACGTCAGGGGTCTCATGGAAGCGATGGGCAGTTCCTCGTCCTCATCTTCATCTGTGCCGCACAACGTTAACTCGTCGGGGACTTCTCTTGTAGGCGCTTTCTTCCTTCGTTTCGCTGGCCGCTTTCCCTCCGCTGCTGCAGGTTGTTCACTTGCTTCAGCACTTGTGTCTTTCACATTCTGCATGATCTCTATCAAACAGTTCTTTCCTCGCTCAATCTGGCCTTCCGAAAAACCAAAACGGTCCAACCTGTCCTTCTGTTGAGGATCAAGTAAAGCTGCAGCAATATGCAGATCTTCCACAATCCATTTCTCCTGCAACACATCCTTCGTTAGCATCTTGATGGCGATGATGTCTTCCGAATCTGATGGGATAGTAAACTTATTACCATCAGCGTCCTCACCGTTGTATGGCTCATGGCATGGTTTGCAGTACTCCATCAGAGCACTGCGCTCGAAAGCCACAAGGTGTAGCGTCGGTTCCAAATACTGCTCCAGCCTCAGGGTGGCAATCTGAAACCATTTCAAGAACCTTGTGAGCTCCGCAAGCGAGTTCTTGTCAATTTGTGTGATGAGGAATTGTTTATTGGCCTGCCTATTAGTGTTGGCAAGCCTAGCGAGGACAGCTGTGACTTCGTCATAGCTATCCAAAACGCTATTCAGGGAAATCAACAATGAGTTCCACCGTGTCACATTTTCCTGCTTGAGCGTTTTACTTAGGCTGTTCTGCAGGTTCGCCTATTTGAAATACCGCACCAGCTCTTTGCAGTTGTCGATCATTTAATACAGGTGCGGTGCGAACTCATGATACCTGTAGAACGGTGCAGACCGAACTCCGTCCGTTGTTGTTGTGGTTTTGTTGAATATTGTCGTGAGCACGGTCGCTATTTTGTGATCCGCACAGGCCATCCACTTGTACACTTTTCGGATGCCCTTAGCTGCGGCCATGTTTGACCCGCTGTCGGTGCAAACCACACATTTTGCTGCATCTTCACAGCTGAACTCATGAAGGCACTCTTGAAATGCCTTGAGAGCAGCTGGCCCAGTATGCGTTTCCTCGTGGAACGCTACACCTACTTCAGACTTTCAGCCATATCTGTACGGATTACGAAATGAAATTGCTATTATTGATTTAGAAAGAACACTTCTTTATTTACGAAGAGCTTGTAATTTCATTGAGTATATAATTCGTTCAAATGGTCATATATTATTTGTAAATACTAATCCACAAAACAATCAAATAATTCAGAAAATGGCAAAAGAAACATGTCAAAGTTATATAAATCATAAATGGATTAAATTGCACACATTCAATTTGAAATTGATATCGATATAATGCATGGTAACGGACAAAAACGAATTTTTTTTCACTTCATCAGTCCACATGCCCGTTGTAAAGCCTGCATGCACACCGTCATCGAAATGTTTCTTCACCTGCTCTTTCACCTTTTCACGGGCAGAGGATGCTGTCGCGAGAACACGGCGTTTGACAGTGTTGGGGACCGGGATCACCTTTCCCATCTGCATAGCCTTGCCCACAGCTGCGCCCATGTCATACGCTTCTTGCACAACGTCTATAAAACCCTCGTCGGCTACCACATTGAAGGGCCGCAAATCTTTGCAGCACCACATGGCGGTCTTTTTTGCCATCCTGTTTTTTTTGAGCCAATGTGGGCTCTGCGGAAGTCGCAAATAGGCGCATGAGGCCTGCTCCTTCCGGCTCCTTGCGACGAGTGTGTTGTCGCAAAGTGCTTGTCCCGTGTGCGGAGCTATACGCATAGACTCTAATGCAGGTTTTGCAGGCCACATATGCGCTGTTGTGCTCCCGTATGGGAGCACCATCAGCAGAACACACATGACCAAAAGATTTCCAAATCTGAGAAACATTTCCATTCTCCTCTCTTAACGTATACGGAGGGTTGGTTCCTCCTTTTCTAAGCGCTGTTTGGACGAGCACTTTGAAACGTTTCATATCAGTGGTCGTGGAGGAAGAGYCTGCTGTTCCACTGCTCTTATTCTGCTCGTTTACTGTTGTATCAYGTTTCGGGTCAGACCGGTCTGATTCRTCCGATGACCCGAACCCCTCACTCACAAGAGGCTCCATCRARAGACACTGAATTCGAAGAGGGCACTAAAGATAATCGGGACAGTGCTGAGATTCTAGAATTGAGCTTTAAGGACAATAAAGATAATTTCACTTGAACAACAACACTGAATTGACTGAATCGCTGCTTATTAAGGCATGAATTGGTAAAAAAGAGTGATCAAACCGGGTCCAGAACCACAGATTCCGACAACCCCTGGGCATGAAGCACTCCCACCAAAGTAGAAACTACAGCAGCTAGTTTGCCATCACCATTGGAACCTGCAGGAGCACAACAACACACACCGTGCACACACCGAGTCGCAGTCAGCTCCTCCCTCATGAGCAGTAAAGCAATCACATCTGAGATGTTCTGATCAGATCTGATCTTGTCTAATCCGATATGATGAGATCTGTTCTGCTCTGATCACATCTCATCTGGTTCTATCACATCTGATCTGATCTGATGAGATCTGATGTGGTCTGACCAGATTGGATCAGATTGGGAAGGGTCGAGGCCTTTTTTTTTGTTTTTTTTTTAGTATAGATCTGATCAGATCAGATCAGATCAGATCAGATCAGATCAGATCTGATCAGATCCGAAGAGATCTGATCTGGTCTCACGGTCCTCACATACTGGCCAGATACATTCCTCAAAGCACTGGTGTAACTTCCACGTACACGAAGGTCATCCCCACATCGGTGGATTTGTTTTTTTTTTTTGTTTTTTTGGCAGGTAACATTCGCAATTAGATGGGCAGAGGATCGAAATCACGTGGCCAGATAAGGACACGAACACAAAGGGAGATCCAAAAAGAGAGAAAAGATAAGGACACGAACACAAAGGCAAACATGCAGTTCCCAGTCAACTCTTCGTAACATCCTCTCTCTCTCTCTCTCTCTCTCTCTCTCTCTCTCTCTCTCTCTCTCTCTCTCTCTCTCTCTCTCTCTCTCTCTGTATATATATATATCTATATCTATCTCTATCTATCTATCTATCTATCTATCTATCTATCTATCTATCTCCCTCGTCACTGGATTCAAAAGATCGATTGACTGGATTCAATGATCGATGAAAAGATCATCGAACTTCACTGCCCACCGAGTTTTGCCAAGTTGACAGCGCTTCTTCACTGCGCACCGAGTTTTGCCCAGTTTTTTTTTTCTGTTTTTGATCAGAAGCAACTCCGATGAAAATAATTTACAACAAAAACTTCGCAGCCAAGTGGTTCAAAAAAAAAAAAAAAAAAAAAAAAGTTCACCCTTGTGAGCGAAAAGGTGAAGAAAAAAGATAACAACTTTCCATGACCGCTCGGTGGCGAAATTGACGGCCATAACAGCGGTCGACTAACGGAGACGGGAGAGGGAGTATAGAAGGCAAAACACTGAATAGCTCGTCTCTCGACTCGGATTCATCGGGGGGAAAAAAACTTAAAAAAAATGTGCAAGACGATTTACCGAAGGCAAAGAAAGTGGGAGGAAGCGTATGGGTACGCGACCGTACGTCTATCGCCACCCAACCCTGCTTCCTATACTCTGAAGACTGCGAAAAGCACACTGTGCACACAGTGCCACACAGACACATATACACATATACAAAACGAAATAAAACTTTTTAAGTTTAAACATAAAAACTATTAAAAAGAAAAGAAAAAAGAAAAAAAAAAAACTCGCTTTATCCAGCGGCCTAGCTCAGTTGGTAAGGCACCCAAGTGCCATTCAGGAGGTCTTGGGTTCAGCTTGGCGCCCGCCACCTAGAGATAGCCCGTTGGTCCCCCCAATTGGCATTAAAAAGCAGGCTCTGCTGATGTTCATAGGGGGAGGGGTAATCGGGGAGGCACAGCGACTGGCCACTCAGATGATGCTCGGTCCCTCTGCCACCGGCTGTCCCCTGGCCGGTGCCCCCCGTCGGGGGTTCCCCGAAGGCTATCAGGCCACCCTGGGCTGAAAAGGCCACCGTTGTCAGATTAGACACAAGATTGAATTCACCTGGGCTGGTTAGTCCGATGATAATACCTCAAGGCCATCGCCCTTTAAAAAAAAAAAAAAAAAAAAATCGCTCCGTTCTGAGTGAGACAGACTGAAGGAGTGTGTGTTCACATCACAGATGCTCCACAGAAAAAAGGTGGGGCGAAAAAAGAAAAAAAACAGCGCGGTAGTGAAAGAATGCTCGTCAATCTAAAGGCATACTAGCACTTGTCCTTTGGCTGAGTGTATCTTGCAGCAATTTATGGCCAGATCAAGATGAGAAAGTCCTAGCGCATCTCTACTTTTTAACCCTGATTGAAAGCGTTCGGCGCGCACAAAACACTAATTGCATCCACCCCTCGCTCAAGAAGATGACCAATGGCTTATTATCACTCACTTTGGCGACGCAGGAGGGGGAGACGCAGAGAGGCACAGATCTCTCTCTCTCTCTCTCTCTCTCTCTCTCTCTCTCTCTCTCTCTCTCTCTCTCTCTCTCTCTCTCTCTCTCTCACATGTTTGGCAAAGGAGCAAAACTGCTGTATCACATTTTTTTCGTCCATGAGAAGTTCATAAAAGACGCCATGTCAAACAAATGGTTGATTTCACGTAAGGAGGTGGTCAAGAAGGGATAGCCAAGAGCAGCAGCCAAGATCTGCATCTTCTGGATCCTGAACACATCATTACATCCGGTTTTTTTTTCTCCATCAGAAGAAGAATATTCCGGACACGTTGTCACAACAAATGGTGTTTTACCCAGTTTTGCCGAGCCAGGGTCATCGAATGTAARAARAAMAARAAAMAAAACCAAAAAAAAAAAAAAAAAAAAAATCCCCAACGCCGTGATAAGCATCAGATACATTCTATGATGTGCTAGTGTGATTGTGCCCTCGGTAAGGGCGTCTATCCACGAGCAGCAGAGAGAAAACCCCAAAAAAAAAAAAAAAGGCAACCCTTATGCTGCGATTGCGGTACGATACAGGATGATGCTACAGTACTTG